CCGCATCCACCGACAGCAGGGGTGGGGGTGCTCAGTCTGAGGACGCTGCCCAAGGGAAAGGCAGGAGCCTCACACAAGGTCGCTATGGGCAGCAGCGCCCTCCTGGAGGCCTGAGAAGGGACCAGGGTTCTAGAGGGCCCAACGTTCCCTTCTCATGTGAGATGTGAAGTTTAAACTTTGGTAGAATGTGTGTCTTTGTTCCAGAATCTGTGATGATGTCACCTCTATAGCACATTCTGTTGGCCCTGAAATGCGTGAGAAACTGGTGTTATATAAAAATAGAAGAGCACAGTAGTGTGCTTCACTGAGAGATTAGTCACGGAAGACAGCATTCTAGATACTGGAATATGACTGAGACCTTTAACATTATTTTGCAATAAGCCAGCGTGATAAGAGGGAGACAAGCCTTCATACGATCCCTTTGGAGGAGGGCATCAAATTGAGGAAAGACATGATAATTCATTTCTTGCTATTGAAAAACATTAAATAAAGCCAGAATTTCACACTTAAACTCATCTCAGCCTGTCAATCAATACAAACCTAGAAAGGCCATGATTTTATTTGTAAAGCACAAATAATGAAGACACCTTGGTTTCAAGTTAACAATCTGATGTTTTTTAAGTTGTGCATGGTTAAGAAGAGAAAATGAGAAAGACCTTGTTTCAGTTTTCGGTGACTAGGACAGCCCAATACATACAGTGTCAACTTATAAGGATATCACATTAAAAGAAGCATTAACACTTAACAAACATTACGGTTATCTTTGGAGAAAATTAAAATGATAAAGTAAGGAAAATATGACAAATAACTGATTCTGGAAATTACTAAGGAGAGAAAAAATAAATATATAGGAACTCAATAAAGCAGTAAGGAGTAAAACCAACAGAAGAGAAATGAAAGGAACTCGTGGGAGGGACAGAAGCTGTGGGAGAGGTTGACCACATTCTTCAGCAGAGACGAACATGCAGCAGTCATGTACGGATGGGAATTGGGGCCAAATCCCAGGTGTCTGCTTTATGATTGAATGAAAAATGAAACTTAGGGAAGATTTTCATTTTTCACTCAGCTCACACTGGCATAGAAACCATTGGAAACTAAAGGCAAAGTAGATAATCAAATAATGTGAGGCTCACAGAAATGAGAAAGGAGCGTCTGCCCACGAGAATAATTTTCACAAGGTCAGAATAATTCACTCTTTTCTGGACATTCCATTGCTTGTTTTGGTTACTCTTCTCTTTGCTAAGACAAAAATAGTCAATATCCAAAGTTAAAGGAGAAAAAATTGAGAGTAGCTTGCAGTACATAGCGGCTTCAGTTCAATTTTGGATGGCACCAAGGCAGGGTGGCATAGAATAGGGGCATCGCAGAGGAGAAAAACATAGTTCATGATGTGGAAGGTATAAAGCAGGAATCAGCAAAAGCAGCAAGCAGGAGGCATCAAATCAGCCCTCTTTCTGTCCCTTATGTTTTATTCATGCTGCAATCCCGAGGACAGAGAGTACTCGCACCCAGAGTGGACCATTATCTACACCTGGCACTATGCTGCACTATTCAGTGGACTAGTTTAGTAATCACACACTGTTGATCCCAAAACACAGACAATCCCAGTGCCAAGCACACCAGGCCCAACCACCGCTAAAATGCCCCACCATGGAAGTTTTGGGGCCATCTAGACAGAAGCCCAAACACTCCTGAAACCATCTCCCTTGGGCTTCTGATATATGTCTTGATTCTGCATATAGATTTTTCTATACACAGATTTTTCTATACATTAGATTTTTCTAAACACAGGAAGGCGGCGATGCCCACTGCCAGCGTCCCTCGGTGAGACAGCAAACCCCAGCCCTCAAGCTGGGTGGGGGGAAGAACTACTCCATCCACCCCTGCAAGCAACTGGCTAACTTGGAGAAACAGAGACTGAGATGATAACAACTGAACTAAAGAAACAACCTAGTGCTTGTATTGTTTGATTGACTTTGCAAACATAAAGCCAGTAGTCTAAGCATCTATTCAGAGGATAACAATATGCAATATAGTAACTATTGTGGACTTCCTACTGTCTTATCGCTGTTTTGTTTTGTTTCATTTTATTGTTCTATATTATTCCCTTTAAAATAAATAAATAAGAAATTTTGGTGTTGCTAGGATGTGCTTCTCAGTTAAAAATTTTGTCTAAGCACATGTATTCTCCTCTATTTCTCTAAAATTTCCACTGTAATAACATTCATGAATAGAAACACAGCAGCAATCCTAGCACTCTGATAAGCTAAGGCAGGGAAAGGCTCTTGCAAGTTCTAGCCTTCCCTGGGCAACTTCATGACTTAGTGAGACCCTGTCTCAAAAGAAAAATAAAAACCATGGCTAGGGCTGTAACTCAGTGTGAATGTTCTAAATACGCTGTTTCCTTGATCACAATACTCTCAGAAAGTTCCAACACTTAGCTTCCAATAATATAACCCAAGTGCCCATCAACTGAGGAATGGATAAAAAAGTTGTGGTATTTCTATACAATGGAGTATTATTCAGCTATAAAGAAGGATCACATTGAGATATTTATCAATAAATGGGCGCAGCTTGAGACCATACTCATAAGTGAAATAAATCAATCTCGCATGTGTGAATACCGAATAGTTTCCCTAATGTAAGTAATGATTCAAATATATAAAAATATGTGGTAATCATGATTCCCCATTATGTGGCCTTGAAGCCTTATAAAGTTTTCACTCATTAATTAGAAAGGCTTTATTCTGGGCTTCTTGATATGAAAATATTTGAAGCTAGAGTATATGAAGTTTTACCCAAATATTTCAAGGAAAAAGACACTATGGTAACTACTATTAAGTCAGGTTATAAGGTGGTGAAGTACTAGGTTATTGAAACAGTCATGCTGTGACCTCTATTGTTATATTGTTATGTCCTGTTTTATCTCAATCTCCCCCTTATTGTTTCAAAAAAAAAATATTTAGTCATTTCTTATGTTTGTCTTAATTAAAGAAAAAATTCAAAAAAATTAGGATATATAAATAGTAACTCTTTTCGATTTCCTATTAACTTGTTTTGAAGTCCTGTAGTACTCCCACGATCTTGTTTTGACTGATTAGACTCTGTTCCATTCTATATGATAGTATCAAGTTTGAAGACATAGGCAACTACTTTGAAGACAATAAGATTCACTAAGATACCCATTCTGGTTTGACTATTGTCTTCTTTGGAAGTCCTGTAATGTTTACAATGCCTAAGTTTTATTGGTCTTGTTCTCTACTGTTTTGTCCAACTTTATAATATCTAATAAGATAGACAATTCTTTTTAAGGAAACAAGGGACAACGTTGATAACCATTGTTGATAAACTTGTACTCTGTTCTACACCATGTGCTATGTCTATCCTTGGTATTGACTGACAGCTTTGTTTTGCCATATTTGACTGTATTCTTCCCCCCCCCCAAGAAAGTAATAAGCACTAAGGAGTAATAAAATCCAAGATGTGTAAATTTTGTTGTAAAAAAGAGAGGGAAAAAAAAAAAAGAAAAAGAGCTCTAACGGATATAACAGCAAGTGTGTTTGGGGGTGTTAAATAGCTGACTTTATCAATGTTTTTGGAACATTGAACACAGCTGTTTGCAGTCTCCCTGTTTGAATGTCCACCTTGTGTTCTTTGATACTGTGATTTGAGGAACTATTTTCAAGAAAATAGTGTGTAATCTACTAGCAGGTAATTTCTTACTGTTATGGTTTTTTGTTTTGTTTTGTTTTGTTTTGTTTTGTAGTTCTGTATTGCGTGTACCCTTACGCCGCTTTGGTTTGTTTTGTGTTTTTCTCTTTTTCCTCTTAAATAAAAAAAAAACCAAATGATTTAATCTAAATTATTTTAACTTATTAAGAAAGGTAAGACCAATTCTTTATACCCTATAGGAAGGATAAAGAAATTTAAACTCATAGTAAGATAATTAGTCAATCATTGATGAAGTGCTCCTCATTTACCAAGAGAGTTCCATGTTAATAGTAAATACTATTGGCCCCACACTAAGTCCAATTTTCTTTCTTTTTTAATAATTTTTTATTTAAAAAAAGATTAAGATAGAAGAGGACATAACAAAACAGGTCAAAACATAACAGTTTAAGCAACATAGTGTTTCATCACAAGACAAGCCGACATAACAGTAGCTACCAAAGTGTCGCTTTCCTTGAAATAATTGAGTATACCTTCATATACTATAGTATCAAACATAAAAAGAAAGTGTAAAACCATTCAAGAGAATGAAAGTATTACAGGGTATTCAGAATCAACTAACAGTAAATGAACAAAGGTTACTATATTATCTCCTTGTCTATAACATATTTTTATACTATCACATATAATAAAATCCAATAAGATACAACATGATAAAACCGATGGAGACAGAAGAACAAAAGCTTGGTGGGACTTTAAAACAAGATGATATTAAATCATCACTAGCCATTATAATGTCTTGTTTTCTTCAAAATAGCTGTTCCTACTAACACAGACCATAAAAATCAAACAACCCAGGATAAAACCATTCCAAATAATGAATGAAAACATTATAAGGTTCAAAGCAAAATATTGGGGAATCATGATTACCACATACTTTTATGTGTTCTTACCATTTCTTACACTAGGGAAACTATTCGGTATTCATACACGTGAGTTTGATTTATTTTGTTTATGAGTATGGTCTCAGGCTGCGTCCATTTATTTATAAATATCTCAATGTGATTATTCTTTATAGCTGAGTAGTACTCCATTGTATAAAAATACCACAACTTTTTTATCCATTCCTCAGTTGATGGACACTTAGGTTGTTTCCAAGATCTGGCGATTACAAATTGTGCTGCTATAAACATAGGTGCACATATATCACTGTGGTATGATGCTTTCAGTTCTTCTGGGAATATGCCTAGAAGTGGAATAGCTGGAACAAATGGGATCTCCAATCCCAGCTTTCAGAGATATCTCCAGACTGACCTCCACATTGGTTGCACCAGTCTACTCTCCCACCAACAGTGCAGGAGAGTTTTTTTTTTTCCCATACCCTTTCCAGCATTTGTTGCCAGTAGTTTTCTTGACCCTGGCCATTCTTTCTGGAGTGAGATGGAATCTTAGTGTTGTTTTAATTTGTATTTCTCTAATGAGTAATGATGATGAACATTTTTTCATGTATTTATTTTCCATTTGTATTTTTTCATCTGAGAATTATATGTTTACCTCAGATGCCAATTTTTGGATTGGATCCTTAAATTTTGGGGGTCTGATTTTTAAAATTTTTATATGATTTAGATAGAAGACCTTTGTCTGAGGGACAGTTCACTAAGATTGTTTCCCAGTTTGTAGGTTTTCTTTTCACTATGCTAGAGATTTCTTTTGATGTTCATAAACTTTTTAATAAGACATGATCCCACTTGTTGATTCTGGGAAGTATTGCCTGTGCGGTTTGATTCCTGTTCATGAAACCTCCACCTAACCTTATGTCCCTAAGGGTTTTACCCAACTTGTCTTCCAATAGATTTAGAGTTTCTGTTATAAATTCAGATATTTGATCCATTTAGATTTTAATTTAGTACATGGTGATAGGCATGGGTCTAGTCTTAGTTTTTGGCATATGGAGAGCCAGTTTTTCCAACACCATTTGTTAAAGAGACTATTGTTCTTCCAGTGAACATGTTTGACTCCTTTATCAAAGATAAGGTGGTTAAGTGTGTTTGTAGTTGTTGTTTTATCTTTTCATCTATTTGATTGATCTTTGGCTCTGTTTTTATTCCAGTACCATTTTGATTTTACTACAGTAGCTTTCTACTATAACTTCAAGTCAGGGATTGTGATGCCTCCTGCTTTGCCTTTGCTGCTCAGAACTGTCTTTGCTATTCTAGGTCTCTTTTGGTTTCAGATGAATTTTAGGAGTGATTTCTCTAGATCTATGAGGTATGTTGATGGTATTTTTATTGGGATTGCATTGAATCTGTATAACAATTTTGGAAGAATGGCTATTTTCACAATATTTATTCTTCCTATCCATGAGCAAGGGATGTCTTTCCACCTTCTGAGATCCTATTCAATTTCTTTTTTCAGTGTATTATCATTTTCCCTATATAGAACTTTCACTTCTTTCATGAGGATAATTCCTAAATATTTCATTTTTTTGGGTGCTAGTGTAAAGGGTATGGCTTCTCTTATTTCTCTCTCTGTGATCTTGTTGTTAGTGTATAGAAATACTACTGATTTTTGAGTATTGATTTTGCATCCAGCTTCATGACTGAATTTATTTATTACATTTAGGAGTCTTTCAATGGAATATTGGGGGTCTTCTATGTAGAGTCCCATGTCATCCGAAAATAATGACAGTCTAAATTCTTCTTTTCCTATCTTTACTCTTTTTATTTCTTTCTCTTCGCTAATTGCTCTGGCTAGTATTTCCAGTACTATATTAAATAGGAGTGGTGGTAAGGGACATCCTTGTCTTGTGCCTGATTTCAAGGTAAAGGCCTTCAGTTGTTGGCCATTTAGCATGATACTAGCTGTTGGTTTGTCATGGATCGCCTTTATTATATTGAGGTAAAGACCACCTATTCCAATTTTCTGTAAGGTTCTTATCATGAATAATGTTGGACCTTATCAAAAACGTTTTATGCATCTATAGAAAATGATCACGTGATTCTTACTTTTGGCTTTATTGATATGGTGGATTACATTTATTGATTTAGGTATGCTGAACTATCTCTGCATGCCTGGGATGAATCCCACTTGGTCATCGTGTATAATCTTCTTTATGATTTGCTGCATCCTATTTGCCAATACTTTATTGAGGATTTTTGCATCTCTGTTCTTTAGGGAGATTGGCCTGTAGTTCTCTTTTTTTAGTTGGGTCTTTCTCAGGTTTTGGTACTAGAGTAATATTTGCTTCCAGGAATGACTTAGGAAAGATTGCTTCCCTTTCAATTTCATTGAAGAATTTGAGGAGTGTGGGCATTAAGTCTCCTTTGTATTTCTTGTAGAATTCTGCAGTGAATCCCTCTGGGGCTCTTTCTTGTAGGTGAGGACTTAATTACATATTCAATTTCATTAATAGAAATTGGGTTATTCAGCAGTTTTACATCTTCTTGACCTAGTTGTGTTACTTCATGTGTCTCTATGAGTCTGTCTATTTTTTCTGTGCTATCATACATATGAGAGTAGAGGTTTTTGAAACTGGTGTTGATGATCTTCTGTATTTGTACAGAGTCTGTAGTGCTTTCGCCTTTTTCATTCCTTATTGTATGAATTTGAGCTTTTTCTTCTATTTTTTAAATAAGGTAGGCTAGGGGCTTATCAATTTTATTTATTCTTTCAAAGAACCAACTATTTGATTCATTTATTCTTTGGATTGTTTTCTTAGTCTCTATTGCATTAATTTCTGCTCTGATTTTTATAATTTCCTCCTTTCTTTTGACTTTGGGCTTGACTTGATCTTCTTTTTGTAGATGTTTGAGGTGTAACATCAGATTGTTTATTTGTATTATTCTGTTTTCCTGATATGGAACTCAGTGCAATAGATTTTCTTCCGAGGACAGCTTTCATTGCATCCCACAGATACTGGGGATGTAAATTTGTATTTGTATTTTGTTTGCTTGTAGGTATTGTTTAATTTCTTCTTTAATTTTTTCTGTGACCCACTGATTACAAGCGTGTGTTATTCAGTTTCCATGTGTTTGTGGGATTTTTGCAGTATCTTTTATCATTAATTTCTAATTTCATGGTGCTATGATCTGACAACATGCAAGGGATAATTTCAACTCTTTTGCATTTATTTAAATATGTTCTGTGGGATAATATATGGTCTACTTTAGAGAATGTTCCATGTACTCCTGAGAAGAATGTGTATTCTGACGTTGGATGGAACACTCTGTGTATGTGTATCAAGTCCATTTGTTCACAGGTGTGATTCAGTTCTCTGATTTCTTTGTTGATATTTTGTTTGGTTGGCCTGTCCCTTGGTGTCAAAAGTTTGTTAAGGTCTCTTGTTATAATTGTGTTATTGCTAATTTGGTTTTTCATTTCTATTAATAGTTTCTTTTTATAATGGGGTGCTCTGGAATTTGATGCATATATATTTAAGATTGTCATCTCTTCCTCTTGAAGTTTTTCCCTAACCAGTATGTAATGACCTTCTTTATCTCTTCTGATCATTATTTGCTTGAAGTTCATGTTGTCTGCAAACAGAATAGCTACCCCCACTTTTGGGGAGTTCCTATTGCATGAAGTATTGTTTTCCATTCCTTGACTTTCCGTCTGTGAGTATCCTTTTGGGCTAGGTGGATTTCTTGTAAACAGCATATTGTTGGATGTTGTTTCTTGATCCATTCTGCCAGTCTGTTTTTTTTTTTAAATTGGTGCATTGAGACCATTTACATTAATGGTTATAACTGTTATATATTGGTTTATTGTAGACATGTTATCTTTCTGCTTGCATCTTTATCTTTCTGTTCTGTTTAATTATCTGCTTTGCTTAGTGGTTTTTTCCTAAGTGTATCTAAACTGTCTTTCGGTATTCTCTGCAGGGCTGGTGTGGTGATCATGAAGTTCCTCAGCTGTTCTTTGTCATGGAAGTATCTGATTTCTCCATTAATTTTGAAGGACAGTTTTTCAGGGTACATCAGTCTAGATTGGAAATTATTTTCCAACTTAGGATCTGAAATACTTCACTCCATGCTCTTCTTGACTTTATTGTTTGTGCTGAGAAGTCTGCTGTGATTCTATCAGCTTTTCCTTTATAGCTGATCTGTCTTTTCTCCCTGACAGCTTTTAATATTCTATTCTTATGTTGTATTTCTGGGATGGTGATTATTATATGTCTGGGTGTAGTTGTATTTTGGTCATGGCTATTTGGAGTTCTATATGCTTCACTGATCCTCATGTCAGTTTCTGTTCTTATGTTTGGGAAATTTTCAGCCATTACTTCTCTAAATATCCTCTTGACATCTTTCATGTTGTCCCCTTCTTTTTCATTTATCCTTATCAATCATATGTTGTTTTTCTTTGCATCATCTTGCAGCTGTTGAATTGTTTTTTCCTGATTCCTTGTTATTTTTAAAAGATCTTTCCTTTCCTGTTCACTAGCTGCAATCTTTTCTTCGAGGTCTGAAATTCTGTCTTCACTTTCTTTGAGGCAGTTTTTACAACTTTGAATGGAATTTTTGATTTCCTGTGTATCTGTTTGCATGTATTTCACATATTCCATTTGTCTAATATATTGTTCATCCAGGGATTCTATCTTTTCATTTAGTTCCTCCAATTTTTTTTAACTGTCTCTTCTTTAGATATGTTCAGCATCTCTTTCATTTCTTTTATAATTTCTTCTTTTACCTGGGAGATTATTTCTAGTTTGAATTCCTTTAGTTGCTTCTTTATTTCAGTTGGTATTATTTCAGGTATTTCAGGTGTATGGCCTATGTTTTCTTCTATGTACATAGCTCCTAAGGTATCTTTGGATGGGCTGGAGGCTTGAGATTGTATTTTGGTCTTTCGTTTTGTCATTTTCCTATATTTCCGTGTTTTCAGTGTTGTTTCAAGGTTTTCCCTGGGCCTGTTAGAAATTTTCTTCTATGTGCTCAGCTTCTGGGACTCTGGCCATCCAGTTCCCCAGATTGAGAGAGGGTCACTGGGTTGGGGCAGGCAGGGCCAAGGCTTGCTGAGCTGATCCAGTGTGGCAGGAAGCTGCAAAGTTCCCTGGGTGGTGGGAGCAAGGATCTTACACTCCCTCCCAGGGGATCGGAATGGTGTAGGGACATTCACCCCAGGTCTCCCAGTTGATGGCACAGGCAGGCAGACTGATCCAATTCCCCGGAACTGGCCAAGCCTGGCAGGAAACTGGAAAGCTGGTTCAGTGTGGCAGGAAGCCATAAAGTTCCCTTGCTGGCATGAGCTAAAATCTTAAACTCCTTCCCAGGGGTTTGGGATGGTGCAGGGACACTCAACCACAGGCCACCCAGTCCAGAGTTCAGAGCGTAAGAAAGCAGGCCCAATTCCCCGATGCTCACTAAATCCAATTTTCAAGACCAGTGTAGCCAAGACCCAGATGGTGAGTTTTGACTATCCTCAGCTCCCAGCTGTCCCTTGCTTATAAAATGAGCCTCTCACTGAGATTCACAATTGTCCAATACAGTGTATCTCAAGAAAGACCACAGCCAGTGATTTTTGCTGCTTTATTATAATGCAAACAAAAAGTCAAAAGTCTGGACCCTTACCTCAAATTGAGGGATCAGGTTTGTGGTACAATGCATTCCCTGCTGTTCTCCAGATCAGAGTAAATCAAGACTCCCGCTGAACCCCACCAATACTTCTCAATCTGATTTCTGCAACAATTATGGGCAAAGTATTCCATGTTCATACTCTGTTTTGGGGAATATAACTGTGCCTTTACTAATCATATAATTATGTTCTTACAATTATATAAACAACACTGGACAGAAATCTTGCTTATTTTTTGAGAAAGGATCTCTCTATGTAGTTTAAGCTGGTCACGAACTCCTTATGTAGCCCATGCTGGCTTGAACGTGTAGCAATTCTCCTATTTTAGCCTGACAAGTCAAGGAATTACAGGCATGTGATATCATGTCTGGCCAGAAACCTTACTTTCTGATCCTGTGAACAACATAAACAAGCTCATAGTTAACAGATGACAACTTCCATTTTATGATGTGTAACTTTAAGTTTTTTTCTGTAATCTGTCTTAATACCTATTACAAGAACTTATTTATATAAGAAAATAATCATTGTCCCTGGGCTTGCTGTGACACCTGAGAATCAAGGGAAGGAGACACTGCTATGATCTTCAGTGTCTCCATGTCTCCTCACTAATTATTGCCAAACCACCCCACAATACCATGTGGTCTGTGAAAGCTGATCTATGCAGGTCTTTAGTCAAACAAACAAACAAACAAAAAAACAACAACAACAACAAAGTCCTTTATTTCAGGAAGTCTTCTAGATACCTTCTTGAGAAATTTGGACTCGCTCTGCACCTCTGATCTCTGAGGCCATGCCTGTTCCCCTGTGGTTTGGGTGCAGGCTGCAGGTGCCTGGGGAGCACTGTGTGCTCACTGCACAGAAGTAGGTGGCTGAGTCACGGTGCTGGGAGCTTTGGATGTGCAGGGAGAAATGCCTGCTGGCTGTGCTGAGCTGCGCTGTGAATCTTCCTTCTTTCTTGTCCCCACTGGAGTATATGGATATCAGCAGCTCAGGGCCTTTCCCAGGGTACTGTCGGTACCACGCGAAGTTCCGAGAGTCACTGTCCCTGAAAGTGCAGTTGAGAAAAGCAGTGGCTCCAGCTGGAACACTGTGGGACTCGGGACTCTGCTGCACCTCCTTCTGCTGGCCGCTCATCCCTGGGAAAAAAGACAATGGTCAGATGAAGAAGATTATTTAGAGAGCGGGTGCTTAATATTCAGAATGAAAGTTATCCTTCATAGGCCTCCAGCAGTCTTTCCTTACTCAGAGAGTAGAAGTGCCCAAGTGTTTATGCAGAGGCCTTGAGTAGACAACAATGGTGCACATTGTACTCTGTATCCCCATAAATATGCCCAAACTTACAGATGAATTGAAGCCACAAGATCACTAGTAAAATACCAAAATATTCAGTCATTCTGTCTCCCTGGTTCATTGAGATTTGATTTAAAAACATGGCATTTTCAGACACTTCTAGTTTCTCTAGAAACCTAAAAAGAAATGAATTAGCTTCCTCAGTTACAGAAGAGGCTCTTTTTTGGCACCACCTCTGCAATACACATACACACGCCCTCATAGGACCCCTTGAAAACTGTCCTCAAGGTCCCTGAAAAGACAGTGCCATCTTGTGGAAAGTGAGAAAAGGCATATTCAAGATGGAGACACTTGCTGTGTGAACTGTTAAAAGTAAAAATCTGACTAAATTGAAGTTTAAGAAACATTTGCTCCAAAACAGTCCCTATGGATGTGTAACATGTGGATATGTGCATTGTTTTACACCAAATGACAATACTCCAACCAACCCAACATTTTCCGCATGTGACTGACAGAAATGTATGTTTCCCATGTTATCTGAGCAGTGCTGCGTTAATCCATGAGTGCATATAGAAGAGGAAAATGGTCAGTAACAATGCTAATGTTGCCTAACCAAAGTGGTACAATGCCAGTGCAGTTAAGTTAATGCTAAATATGAAACAGTATTAAAATATCCTTTAAGTTATATGTTGAAATTTGGGGAAAGAAATCATTGATCATTTCTATACTGGATATAAAGCTTGGGTTTTGGTCACTTTTTGACAAGCCAAAAATAAACATTTCATCCCAAAGTCACTTGTGTAGAACATGATGGCTAATTCATTATATTCTGGGCCTATTGTGGAGTACTCAAACTGGCTGAATCTCAGACCATAGGAGATAGGACTGTGGCTAATCCCATAGGCTGATTTCATACTACTACTTAGAAGTCTGTTCAAGCAGCTTTAATGAGGTCTCAATGTGTGTCAGAAAATATAAGACTAGTTATTAGTGGATCAGGTTGGAAGATAACCCCCATGTGTCTCTTTTACTCCTGCAAATCTTACTGAGTTTGCCAATAATGTCAGGTTTTGACATTGCTATCTGGACCATTTCTCACTGGAGGGAGGAAGTAATGTCTGTCTCTGAGACAAACAGCAGGCTCCTTACTGCTTGGTAATGGAGAGTGTGTGTGTGTGGGGTGGGTTCCCTGAGCTCAGAATCCCTCCACTGAGACACACACCACTGTAAGTGGAGCACCCATCTGCACCCACTGTAGCTTCCTGTGGGATCTTGGTGAGGAACAACTGACACCAACCTACCAGTGCTTCTGCTGTTTTCTGTGCTGTTGGCATAAAGTCCTGTGCGTCTGACTCAGAGTCTTGGTCATTACTAACAGCACCAATACAGCAACAAAACAGCATAATTCATTAGTTTGAAAAAGGTCAGAATTCAAGACCTGAAACACACTTTCTACTGTAGTAATGATCTGAATTATATTTTAGAAAAATAAGTTTTCCAAAACTGAGCAGAAATGGATCTTTGTTTTCAATTTCCTCTGATAAAATGCATGAACAATTTCCTAATATATTGTAATGAAATAAAGACTTCTGCAAAATCAGTACTAGAAATTCAGATGCCTATTAATCTTGTAAAGAGCTTAATAGCTGCCACACAGATAGGAAAAGTAGGAGTATTATTTATCAGTCCATTGACCACAATAATTATTTTTTAACGTATATTTTAAAAATCTAATCTATTACAAAATGTCTCAAATTAATCATTTAAGTTTGTTTCCTGAGGAACTTGTACACTTACAATATTTTGAAATAAAGGCATGACAAATCATTATAATAACTTGACCTGAGAAATTATTTTGTACATTTCTAAATCTTGAAATTATGGCTTTTTTCTGTCCATAGAGTGGGCTCAGGCCTTCTGACTGTGTTTAATAGAGTGAGTTCTGGTAAATGAGGGAAGGTTGAGATCTTGTCCTTATGAGAAACAATTATTTGATAGCAACCTGTGAACACAGGAGAGTGGAGATCTCAGTCTGGGGAAGGAGGGCAGAGAGAACTGTGCTGCCCTCTAAGGAAGCAAAAACCATGACTACGCTGCCGGAGCAGGAATGAGACAAATGAAAAGGGAATGAGAACAGGGCCAAGCAACGTTACTCTTTGCCTAGATATTTATGAACTGACTAAAATCATTCAGTCAATAGTCTAGACACTAAGGATAAAGCTGTTAATTAAGAAATTGTTAGGCTGGTCTCATAAAACTGGTTTTCTAATTGAGGGAATATATACTCACCACATGGAAACATAAATCAACAACATTGCTACATGTTACAATATTTATCAGAAAGAGGGAACTAACGAGGGTGGATAAAACAGCTAGCGGAGGGCTACACAGGGCTACTTAGGCTACATTTGAGCTAAGATCTGAATGACTCAAAGTGGACAAAATTTGGGGGTATATTTCAGGTGGATGAAACAGTAATGCAATACTAACTGTGGGAAAAATGGGGCAAGTTAGAAAACTAAAGGAGCCAGTCTTGTGGCTGCTGAGAGAATGGGAAAAGAAAATTAAGAACCAAGACTTCCGGGCATTGTGTTTTATGCCTGCTGTCCCATCATTCAGGATGCTGAGACAGGAGGACTTCCGTGAGCTCCACCTGGACTACGTAGTGAGTTCAAGACCAGTTTGAACTACACGGTGAAATCTTGTTTTAAGAACTGATACTGAAAGATCAGACCAGGTTTAAATTATGTAACACTTTGTGTATCACAGTCAAAAGTTTGTATTTTATTTTAGCAACAACAGAAAGCCATTGAAACATTTCAGGCAAGTATAGATCTGATGACAGCTCTGATACTATTACTCTGGAAATTCGTAAGGCTGGTGCTTGTCCAACAGCTAAGTACCTGAGTCTGGTGGAGACCTTTGCAGCGCATAAACTTGAGCTCCACAGGTTTGGGAGGATTCTGAGGTTTTGCAGTATCAGAGACTGCTCTTCCTCACTCTGAGAAATGTGCATGTGTGCAATAGATGCCTTGGAGAAAATGGGCAAGTGAGAAGGTACTGTGAACCAGTGCAATGCTTTTCACACTTTATTTTACACAGCTTACTGTGGGAAAGGACTCTGATTCTGCCTGCAGGACTTTGATGTGCTTCCATCTTGTAATAATAAAGTAATTTATAAAAAAATGTGCTTCCATCCTGTATTACTGACTTTTTAAGACAAATGTCTAATCTCACATGTTATTAGGAAAAAAATAAAAATGGTATGAAAACTGTCACTTAGGTGGATATGACTTTAAAACAAGAATACCCATAACTGATGAGGTATAAGAAATCAGCGGCATCGTGTGATACTACCGAAACCACCATTTGGTGAAAAAATACCTTCATGAAAAGTGTGCATTCAAGTGACCTGCTTTTTTCTCTGATGCCAGAAACTCTATATCCATTAAAATATTGTTTTATGATATCCATAAAAGATTATCTATATCATTGGATAGTTAGAACCAATTTCAGAGCATAATCAGGTTTCTAAAAATATCAGTAGAAAGTACAGGGTAGTTACTTTAAATTAGGCCCTTAATAGAATGCCAGTATTTGAAATATATAATTATAATGTAGACAGAGATAACCATGTTAATATTACTGGATTCATAATAAGCCACTTTCAGAGAAAAATACAGCTGTACTTATATACTATAAAATTTTTAAATGGGGATGGTTATCGTTTCTAGACCATGAATTATAGGAGTGTTTTCTTTTTGTCTGAATGCTTATATTGTGTCATATATCAAAAATAACACATTTAATTAAGTAATACATTTAGTTTACAGCATTTAACTCCTTCTTCAGACAGAACATCCTGCTTTGTGTCTTTTGTGGAAACTCCAGCTGTTAAAGAGTCAGAATGCCTGGATTTTATTTGCATTAATTATGCTTTTGATAAGTCTCACCATGTTGGTGTGTTCTAATCATTTCATCAGTGCAGTGACAGGCATGGTCTGGGTCAGTGAGTCTTTCTTAAAGTGTGTTTGATAAACAAGTCATGTCAAGAGGTATAAGTTTTAATTAGAATAAATACAGTGCTATTTTAATTCAAAATAGTACAACTACTTTTGAAGATAGTTTGGCATTATTTTACATATTGCTTTCAGGATCCAGAAATCATGCTTCTTAGTATCTTCCTCAAAACACATTTTCAAAACACATTTCTACTCCAGAACCTGCACATAAATGTTTATATTGGCTTTACTCTTAATTATCAAAATTTGGGAGCAACCACTATGCCTTTCTTGAATTGAATATATAAATAAACTGTCATCTATCCATTAAAAGAGATAATATTCAGCACTCAGATGAAATGAGCTATGAAGCTATTAAGGACATGGGGAAAATGTAACTTCATGTTATTCAGTGAAAGAAGTCAGTATAATAAGCAGCATACTTTATGACTCCAATCAAAGGATATTCTAGAAAAAGAAAACTATGGTAAGAAGGCCAGCAATTGTCAGGGTGTCGGCTCAGGATGGATAAACAGGCCAAGCACAGAGGATGGTTAGGACAGGGAGAATAATCTATACAGTAGTATAAGGGTAGATACAATCCCTTAAATACTTATCAAAATCCATATAATAACAACCAGAAAGGTGACTACTAACGTAAACCATGGACCTTGGGTGACTGTGATATGTGCCTGTGGGTTCATCAGTTGTTAGAAGTGGGCCACACTGCTTATAACTGGAGGGTTGGTTGGTTGGGGTGATATGAAAACTTTGCATATTTTTCTCTTCATGCTCCTGTAACCTAAACCTACACTGATTTTAAAAATCGTTTTAAAAAGACTGAAACTTTGCAAATGTGTGATCTGTAGTTGAAAGTTAAACATGATGAACAGAGACAATCACATTAAAAATGGGCAGATATATAAAAGGAAAATAAACAGAAAATGTACTTGGTAAATATGTTAAATGAACTTATATTTGATTCATAATTTATTGAATCATAAAAACAGAAAGAGTGGTTAGTAAGCTATAGATACAAAGTTTTGTACTAAAAAAGATGAAGGAAGCAAGTATTCTTCTCAACCACCAGTGCTGAAGGTCTGAGAGTGAAAATTAGGTTAGGGACAATGTTTTAGTCCTGCAGATCACTACAAGTACGGCCCATTTTGCATGATATTTTATTTTTCTAAGTTGAATCTCTTCTTTTCTTTGTTTCCCTCCTTGTTTCTTCCTTCTTTTTCCTTTGTTTCTCTTTCTCCCTATCTTTCTTCTTTTATTCTTTCCTTTCTGTCTGTCCCTGTCTCTGTCACTCTCTCTCTCTCTGTCTCAGTGTCTCTGTCTCTGTCTGTCTTTGTCTCTGTCTCTGTCTCTCTCTGTCTGTCTCTCTCTCTCTCTCATACTGTGTTTCAATCCTTAACAAACATTTCCAGTATTTGTTGCTTTGCAGACTATGGCAAAGGGCGTAGTCAGTTTGTTACTTGTAGATCTTTTTCAGTGGACCGTCTTTTTTTTTTTTTTTTTTTTTTTTTGTCTTTTTCGTTTTTATCGGTACCGGGGATCGAACTCACGACTGCCTGCTTGCAAGGCAGGCGCTTATGCCACTGAGCTAAATCTCCAGCCTCCCCCTTTTTTTTTTTAACATTTTCCCTTCTGAATACCATCACTGTATGTGTGTGTGTGTGTGTGTGTGTGTGAGCACACACAAGTACACACCATCATCTTTGAGGCTGTGAGGGGAATTGGCAAGTTTTGTTCTTCCACCTTTTGCCACAGTGCTGCTACCTTTGATGCTTCCTGCTCCTCCGCTCCCAGCACCCGGGTTTCATTGGCACCTGGTCTGCTGTACAAGTTTTCATGCTTCATTTTAGGGGTTAAATGAAACCTCTAAAATCCTTTTGGTATCGCTGTTGCTATATCCTTTTCTATATTTTGTGGGTTTCTGCATTTTATGTTTCCTTATCATCTTTCAAATAAGGTGTCATGGTAAGTGAAAGTTAAAACACATGCTTAACATTTCTTTGGTCCTGCAAACAAACTCAGCTGAGGTTGTGCGAGAAAGTCAAGTGACTTACACAACTAAAAGAGATTCTCATGGTTTAGACATGAGTTGTTCCTTCAGTTATGCCTTTGGTTCCTCCTTTTTCCTGAATATACATTCTTGTTTACAAAAAAAGAGGAAAAATCATCTGCATTATTAAAATTCTTTTTTTTTTAACCATTTGCATCATTGATATAAGTGAGGTCTATTGTTCCTTTTTTCTTCTTTTTCCTTTATTCTCCATTAATAAACCTAGGGCTTGGGAGGCTGCACACTCTGTCTGGGAGACATTGTCAGCATTCACTTTCTCTGGCACATGTGGCTCTTGCATAATAAGACACAGCGGTATCTACCAGGGTGGGCGACCTGGTATAGGGCCAGACTGTATCTGCAAGGATGCACACAAGGACCACTACAAGAGTCATGTGATTTTTATTTGAGAACACCTTAGTCCTGAAAAAGGAGCTCTCAGGTAAAAGCCTGGTTTCATGCTCACTAGTGGAAGGCTGGATGTGGCTGGTGTTTACCTCTCGTTCCTCGGCTCTAGACACTTGTAGGCTATTACACCAACCAGAGAAACGGAGAAGTGAACACTATAGCTGTGTTGAAATCCCAGTGGATTCTAGGAGCAGACACCACGCCAGGCCCTACCTGCTGCCCAGAGTTTGTGCTCAGCTCCCCCTGCAGTTCCTGCCACTGTGTCACTCAGAGCACAGTAGTACACAGCCGAGTCTGACTCTTCCACCGAGGCTTTCTCCAAGTGGAAGGAACTGGCTCCTTTATCATATGTGGCTTCAAATCCCTTGTTTCGTCCCTGCTCATTGGCTGTCACGGCTTTTAGGAGAAGCTGTGGGCCTTGTCCAGGGTATTGGACATACCAGAAAAGAGTAGCGTAGGTTGAGATGTTACCTGTAAGTGCAGTTTATGGTCAGAAAAGCCCGTTCTGAGAGGGTCACTTGGCCTCCCATCTGTGTCACTGAGTCTCCATGTGTCTTTTCTGGGAAAAAAGAGATCCATATTACTTTGAGAATAAAGCACTTAAATAAATTTCATTGTTAAAATTTTTGCTGACATAAAATAGGAGTCCAAAGTTTAACAGGCATTTTACTTACCAAGTATTATTAATATCACAGTCACTAAGCCTGGAGAAGTATTCATCTTTAGAGGATTGCCTAAGTAATGTTCTTGCTGTTTAACTCATAGAACTGTTGAAGTGGTGTGAAATGATTCTGAACAATTCACACAGGATGAGTTTGTGTTAGGTTACTGCGCCCCCTGGTGGACAGGAATGAGTGTTCTCCAAAGTGAGAAATAGGTCTTCATCTCTGACTTTACTTGCATGCAGACTTCAAGTTGTTTTTGCCAATTTGAAGGAGACTTATCACAAAATCTAAGTACTTTTTGTTCATAAAACTCTACCTGACAGGAAAGTGTTTCAGTACTGCATCCTCAGGCGTCCATTTTTGTGGACATTTTAACATAGGAGTTTGTGTTCTCATGCATGTATTGTGAGGCAGCTTGCAATCTTATTAAAGCATCAGAAAAGTGATTTGGGGTGAAATCATAGGAAGTAGTGAATTCTGTGGTTAGTAAGTGATTTTTTCTTCGGCATTGTTTCCCAGCATTGTTTCTAATCAAATACTCAAATATTTCTGAAATTCACTATATTTAAAGAGAAAACCATGATTCCTAGAAACATAATTGAAGTAATTGAATTCCTATTGAATAAGCTAATATCAATATCTTTTCCGCTACTACTTCACTGATTCCAAGACAAAGTGACCTGCCATGTGAATCAGATAAATGTTAATCCTATACTCTGGTGGAGACCTGGCCTCAAGGATGCTTTTCATATGGATGAAAGCTCAGTCAGCTTCTGGGGTCCACGCTCATCACACAGTTAATGGAATTTATCCGTCCAGAAGTAACATAAAAATAGTGTCTTAAATATAGACTTACATAAGCAATTATTTTGGAAAAAAAACCCAAGCAATTCAGAGCCATTTGTTTGGGCTCACTCACATTTTCCATTAAGCTTTAATCATTTTTCAGAACCTGACACAGAATTATGTTAGGAATTTTGAGAACTCAGCTACAAACTTCCATTCTGACAAACACAGAGTCTGTAAAATGGGTTGAAATGATGTTGGATCATAAAATAAAGTGTAGCAGAGAGTTCAGTTTTTAAAAATGAAACCTATTCTATAGAGGGATGATTAATGGCACAACTGTGTGAATGCACATACTACCACTCAACTGCATGCTTAAGATCATTCTGGTGGTGTATTGCATGTGCTGTGGTTTCTACCACAGTTTAAAATATTTTTAGAGATTTTGAAAGATGTTTCCCTTTAAGTTTCTATCTGCACCTTTGCTACTATAAGAGCAATAAAAGATACCAAAAAATCACTGATCATCCAACTACCACCATTCTAGTTTTGAGACACGAGAAAGTGGGGTTAGAGTTGGAAGGAGGACATCAGAGAAGATGAGGATTGCAGCTGTGGTCAGGACTGGGGCTTTGCAAAATGAGTTGCATGACGTCATTTAATGCTGTGGGAGGAGAGGAGGATAGATGAAGTAAAGGAAGAGGAGGATAGATGAAGTAAAGGAAGGGAGCAGAGAAAATGGTTATTCATGTTCTGTGCCTTCACTGTCTCTCTTGTGTCACCCAATAATTACTGATCTTTTTTTTTTTTTTTTTTTTTTTTTCTTATCGGTACCGGGGATCAAACTCACGACTGTCTGCTTACAAGGCAGGCGCTTATGCCGCTGAGCTAAATCCCCAGCCCTAATTACTGATCTTTGCACCGGTAAGGCTGGTGTAGGTGAAGCAAACTTGGAGCACAGAAATAGATCCCTTTCACACCAGAGCTCACAACAAGGCTTTTAAGCAGAGTTCTCAGGTTAAAATTTGTGACATAGTAAGTGCTGACTGGTTTTTGGGGGGTTACATGAACATGTCAGTGAATATTTTTTTAAAAAATGAGGTGCATTATTCTGTTAACATGCTGCTTTTAAGATATATAATTTGAATATTTGTTTCTTTATATGAGGATTGATATTTTCACTGTGTTATCTTTGTAGATGTTGGATTAAGGCTTAGCCAGTTCTGTTAGTAAAGCTTAATGGTCTAGATAGCATATATACGTTGCAAATTATATGTACGTTCATGTTAGAAGTTCTAAGCTACCAAACCAGTGTGAATTTTTATAATAACCTCTATCTGCATGTGAAATAAAAATAAAGGTGAATATACAAAAGAAAGTGGAAATAAAAAATATATATGCCAAAATTTCTCCTGTTTTGATGAATATGGAGGAATAGTTGAAAGAAATTAAATACATAGCAGTAAGAAACTTCAAGGTGTAATTGGAGTATGTGAAAGGTTTTTTTTCCTTTAGAGAGAAAAATAAAACAGTTTCAAAACATGAACAATGCTATATATATATATATATATATATATATATATTTATTTATTTATTGTTATCTTCAAATTAGTTACTAGAGTACAAGATATCTGCACTGTCTGATCATTTAATTGTCTGAACAATACTAGCACAAACCTTTCTCTTTAGTGGGCTCAGAGAAACCAGTAGTATACCTTAGCTATCATATATACGATATCCTATATACGTATGATTTATTTCATTTATGAGTACGGTCTCAAGTTGCATTCATTTACCTATAAGTCTCCAGCTTATCCTTCTTTATAGCTGAGTAGTCCTCCATTCTATAAAAATGCCACATCTTTTTGATACATTTCTTGGTTGATGAGCATTTGAGTTGTGATCTATTGGTTGTTTAGAAGGGTGATATTTAGTTTCCATGTGTTTATGAATTCTTGTGGTTTCTTTTGCTATGGACTTCCAATTTTGATGTACTGTGATATGACAGTATTCATGAGATAATTTCAATTCCTTTGAGTTTACATAAGCATGTTTTATGAGCCAGTATGTGGTTTATTTTGAAGAACATGTCGACGTGCATCTGAGAAAAATGTGTATTTTGATGTTGTAAGGTGGAACACTCTATAGACATCTACTAACTCCATTTGTTCAAACAATTGGTTCAGTTCTACTATTTCATTATTGATTTTTTTTATCTAGTTCATGTGTGTTTTTGTGACAGTGCAGTACTCTCTCAATACAATTGTTTAGGATTTATTTGATTTTTTATGTCTGTTAGTATTTCTTTTATATAGTTTGGTACACTGGTATTCCATGTGTGTTTATGATTCTTTTGTCTTCTTGGATTGCTCCCTTGATGAGAATGTAATGACCTTCTTTATCTCTCTTAATCAATCTTGGCTTGAATTCACTTTGTCTAGAAATAGAATAGCTACCCTTGCTTTTTTCTGAGTTCCTGTTACATGGAGTATTTTTTCCATTTTGACTTTCAGTCTATGAATTTCTTATTTAATTAAATGTGTTGTTTATATGAAGCATATTGTTGAATCTTCCTTCTTGATTTATTCTGAAAGTCTGTGTCTTTTGATTCGTGAATTGGGGCCATTAATATGGTTGGTTAAAACAGACAGATATTAACTTATTCTTGTCATGTTATTTTCCTGTTTTTGACTCCCCCATTTATCCCTTCTCTCTAATGGTTTGCCTTGCCTGGTGGATTCCTTCTGTTGAGGTTAACGGATCTGTAGCTCTTATTATCTCTTTCTAGAATGTTCTTCAGGACATTTTGGGTGCTGCTTTTATGATTATAAATTTCCTCAGCTATTGTTTGTCATGGAAGCATCTTATTTCTTCATCTGTTTCCAAAGATAGTTCTTGGGGGTATATCAATCTGGTTTGAAAGTTGTTTTTCTTTAGATCTTGGAATACTTTACTCCAAACCCTCCTTGACTTCAGAATTTGGGCTGAGAAGTCAGTTGTGATTCTGATGATCTTTGCTTTAGAGGTAATTTGTTTCTTTTCTCTAACAGCTTTTGAGATTCTATTCTTGTGTTGAATTTCTGGAATCTGGAGTATGATGTACATGGCTGTAGATTTTTTTGGGGGGGGTATGGCTAATTGGAGTTCTATGTGCCTCACTTATCTGTATGACAAATTCTTTTTCTTTACCAGAGAAGTTTTCTTCCATGATATATGTGAACATTTCTAAATATCATTTGTGGTGTCACTTGCTTTTTCATTGACTATAATCAATTTAAATTTTTCTTCTTTGTGTCATCTAGCAGCTTCTGAGTTGAGTTCTCATGGTCCTTTGCTGTTTTTGAGATATCTCTATTTTCCTGGTCACTAACTGCAAGTCTGTCTTCAATGTCTGAGATCCTATCCTCACATTGACCTAATCTACTTTGAATACTTTTGGCAGAATTTTTTCTCCTGGATATCTTCTTGAATCTGCTTTATGGATTCCAGTTATTTCCTATGCTAACCTTCTATAATTTTCTGAAATTCATCTATTTTTTATCTCTGTCTGCTTTAATATCACTAAGCATGGTCTTTATTTTGGACCTCATTTCTGCAGTTATCTGAGAGACTGTTTCTCATTTCGTCTTTTCCAGAGCCTAATTCAACTTCTTTGTTGTTATCATTTCAGAGAGACCTGATAGGAGGCTTTTGGATTTTCTTATCTCATTGCCCCTGGATTTGTCTATGGTGAACTGGATGTCTGGGGCTGAGTTTTGTTTAAGTGGCTTCTCATTTTCTTTTCTTTTTTGATTCCTGAAGTGATTCTTGTAAATAATCTGTGGTAGGTTGCTTTATTGCTAGTATTAGGATCCTTACATGATGACTACTTCTCTGAGGTACCTTTTTTGTGTAGCTGATTTTTGGTTTTGAGTGTGTTGGAACATCTTACCTCTTCAGTTTGTTGGAGATGAGAAGTTGTTTGTTTGGCCCCTTCCCTGGTTTTTTGACACTGTGCCTCTATATTTTCTGAGACCTTTAGTCAGTCTCAGTGATGGAATAACAGAAACAACAGCTGTTTAGAAAAATTATGTCAATTTTGGCTGTGGTGGTACCAATAGCATCAAACACAGGTTAGAAAATGACAAACTCAAAGCTGGGGATTTAGCTCAGCAGCATCAGAGCCTGCCTTGCAAGCAGGCAGTCATGAGTTTGATCCCTGGTACCTATAAAAAGGAAAAAGACAAAAAAAAGACAAACTGAGCTAATCCTTAATTTGCCACTTTTAATCACATGAATTAGACTTGTGGCTATATAACAAAATCTTAAATAATCAGAAAGTTATATGCAGGATACAGTGATCTGTCAATTTTTCCTCCAGTCATTAAAATTTAAAATAGATTAAAGAAAAAATAGAGAATTAGAAGAAAAGGAAGAGCTTAGAAGTAAGGTTGGAGAACAAGGGAGATCACACTAACTTTGCGAAAGTGATGTAGAGGACTGGAGGGAAAGTGCAAAGGAAGAGATGAAAAGCACAGAACCACAACCACAGAAGGGCTAGACACTGTGACCATATTTATATAAAATCAAGATCAAACAATGATATAGAAAGAGAAAAACAGAAAATAAACCGAAAGATCAAAAAAAAAATGTGAGAGAGGGTAAGGAGAGAAGAAAAAAAAGTCCACTTCCAGGCTTGTCCAGGTTTGCCTCTGCTCTCTCTGGTAGACCACCTGTGGAGACAGAGTCCTGACCCCTTCTGATCTATTACAGCAGGCCAGCAGTAGCTTTTTGGTGGGGTAATAGGTAATCTCAGTAAACCTTCACTTTCTGGTAGAGTTCAATCAGTCGCATTTGGCTGATGGTCTTCTGAGCATCTTCTGTGGTCTGAACTCTGCTGGGAGCCACTAGATGGAGCCAGCCACAGTTCTGAGTTCAGGTCTCAGACAACATATCTCCAGGATGACTCCAGACCTAGTGTTCTCTCCCATGGGAAGACTGAGACTCTTGCACCCACCACCAGTCAGTGAAGTCCTTCACATCCTCTGCTCCCCTTTACGTGCACTGCTCCTCTCCACTGCCATGTATCTCCACAGAGGCTTTTGGGGTCTCCAGCCATCACCATCTCCATCAATATGTATCTTCAGGCTTGAATTGCTCCTCCATTGTAGTGAGTCCTGTGTCAGGAAGAACGTACTGCCGGCATCCTCCTTCTTCTTCATTGGGATTTCTCTCTTCTCTCTCTGTGGGCTTCAATTTGCCCTTCAGATTCTTCCTGGTCCAAGGCAGCTACTTTCTTCTTTCTTGTTTTTCTCATGTTGCTATATTCTATCATCTGAGTGGTGGCTCTCTGAGAGGAACTTTCACTGCTGCTTAGTACTCCACCATCTTGCTCAGGGATCAAGGTTTTTACCAAGTGATAAAAATATCATTTTCCAGAATAAAAAATAGTAAATTGATATTTTGCATGTTAATATAAGCTTTAAATACAGAGCTAACATTCCAATTTTCAAGTATTTTCATTATTTGTTTTCACTTAAGGTATATTGAACATAAGGAATTAATTTTTTTTCTTATTTTGTCTATTTCATTTTTATTGGTCCCAGGGATCGAACTCATGACTGCACACTTGCAAGGAAAGCGTGCCTATGCTGCTGAGCTAAATCCCCAGCCCCAGGAATGAATTTTTAACATTTATGTTTAAAAATAAATGTGCAAAAATTGTCAAAATATCTTGGAGGAAAAGTACTGGTGAGGAGTGATTTGCCTAAATAAGTAATAAAATTTAGTATTAAAGTCCCTTCTCAGGCAGATATCAAATGAAACAAATAGATCAGTGGGAGTAATAAAGCGTGTTGGAAGCATAGTTTACTGACAGGTTAAATTTGATATTAAAATTATACTAATTATTTTAGGGGAAATATGTCTTATTTCCTACAAAGAAAGAGATTTATGTCTCCATGGTAATGATCCTCTTACGTGCTTCTAAGAGCCACTGTCATCCAATCATGTCATGGACATGAATGGAAAAGCACCTATAAACCTTAAGTGTGGAAACCAAACTCTTCCATAGTAGAGGAATTATCAAGATGGAAGGAACTTTTAGTTCAAAGTTTATTAGTGTGGAAACTCCTAGAAAGTAGCTGTGAGTATCATTACTCACAGAAAATCTAAATCAAATGAATTCATTAAGCAGTGTAAATAAATGAGTGCTTTAAAAAAGGAAACATATAGACAGATTTCAAGGCTTTTCTTATTTAAAACAGTGCTTACATCATATTTATTCAGTGTCGATGTCCGCTCCCGGCCGGCAGGAAGGACACACGACAAAGTCTGGTAGTGGACAACCTTTTCTTTTTATTTTCCTTCTCCGTACAGCCTGCCCTGGGTTCTCCCAGCTGAAGCCTCCTCTGGTCCGCTCCCCGCGGCTCCTTTTGTGCTTCAGTCTGCCCCAAAGCCTCTACCGGTCCGCTCTCCGCGGCTCCTTTTGGGCTTTTACTTCTGGGCTTCTACCTGGCTTCTTCTTCCGCCCAGGGGTGGCACCGGTATATATACGGGTACAGTGTCCAATCATGTTAAAGTAAGCAAGGCAAGCTGATTGGCTAACATCATCAGTTGCCAGGCAGACTATATTGTTGAGCGGGTTGTTTACGCGGTAAGCAGGAAACTAACATATTCGATGGGAGGGGTAATCTACCTCAGGCTTTGCTCTTTACCACAGGCCGCACGTCCGCCGCGCAAGGCGAGCTATCACAGACGCGGCTCCCAACAATTCAGTATTTAAACAAATTCATCCATAAGCCCAACAATTCATAAGACTTTCCTGTTTGTATGGATTGTGGCAGCACAGCATACAAACTTTCAGTTTGTATGAATGAGTTCTGATGTACTTAGACAATTTTTTGAGCTCTATCTGATGCCCAAATGGCAAATTGTCTATTGTGGTTGTTCTTTCTTTTGCAGCTTCAATCAACTTTGAGCCACAGCTTCAGTGATATAGATGATTATGATTACTGAAAACCCTGGATTTGGTCTTGAACCCACAGAGGGGTTTCTCACAATGAATGTCTTCCTCCAACATGAGACACCTGTGCGGCCACAACCTTGGCAACTTCTTGTTTGGGTTGGTGACTTCCTGACTTACAGCAGGGTTTTTGTACACCTACCTCTTGCATTCCTCTCACTGTGCTGTCTGCCAGTGCACAGAAATACAATCCTGAGTCCCCCAGCTGTGAAGCTGAAATGACAAGTTGTATGAACTTGCTTGCTTTCTGGAAATACAAAGAGTAGCGACCTTCTGCTGCATTTTGTTTGTAAGAGTCCTGACGAATGAGGAAGATCATCTCCCCACTGCTGGGCTGCTTGTACCACAGGATACCATAGTTTGTAGAGCTGGTGTCATAGGTACAGTCCAGGACCACTGCTTCTGTCTCCTGCACTGATGCTGCTGTCTGGGCTTGAGTTACTTTCTGAGCAATGCTGGACCCTGAAGGAAAAAAGACACAACTACTGTTAGACATTGGGCTATGTCCTAGAAACAGTGAAATTTCATTTCTGTACCCTGTGAGTCAATCTTCCCAAAGTCCCTGCTATACATTTACTGCATTCCGATTCTTAGGTCGCAGAGGAGGCCCAATCTTAATGAGAACTTCCTACCTAGCCATGTTGAAGCCATGATCAAATGTATCAGCCTGGAGAACCACATGTTTGTGTTCTCCTAGACAGAAGGCACCTCTTTCTCTTCAGGTTCAGGACACTGCACTGTGATTTGAGCCCGACAGGAAAGAAGTACTGGGCTTTGTGTTGCAGCTGTGCTAGAGCAGGAAATCAAGGTTTCCTGACACAACAAGTGGGAATGAGTCATGTCACACTGTTCTGTGGCTGAAACCTGAACATCCTGCTAAATGAACAAACTCCTACTTTGATAATGTAAAGCTGAAAATAGACATAGGTATATTGAAAGAAAAGTTAACTCGAACTGATATACTTAGTTATTTCATCCAGTGGTATGTTGGACCTGGGAGGTTGGTGTTTAATTAAAAATACTACATACAATGGATTACTGAGGGAATCCAAAATGTGACCATGAATCCTCAAAAATATGTGCTGTTGCTTACTTAAGGTAGTCATCAATTATTGTATCAAAGAAAAGCAAAATTACTTGAATTAATCTCTGTAGCTCTTTTGCTTACCTGTGAATATAACAGTATTCCTACTGATGTTAGTCCAGTTGCTTGTTTTGGGTCAAACAGAATAAAGAATGTAACTCTCTTTGTTACAGGTTTAGATTGAAATCTCAATATTGAATTCTGTCATAAAGCTTTCAACAGCCCATCTCTGTTCATTCAGGCCAGAGTAAACACGGGTCTGTTTACTCAGCTAACAAATTTTGATATTGCATTTTTTTCCTTTTGCCTCTGCTGGGAACCGAGATGAGCTGCTATTATCTGTGCTCACCTCTGAGGGAAAGGTATCCTGAACGATCCAATATGCCTTCCCAGGATCATGGTATCAGTCGATCACGGTATCAGTATTTAAGGTGGACCATTATTATTGTGTGAATATTAAAGATACGGCCATGTTTTAGATGTATTTCTTAAAAATACAACAAAGAATAAAGACCTCATAAAACGTTTATCCTAATGTATTTTTTGCTAATATGGCCCAAGTCTATCCTCCTTGTCACAAGATCATTTTGGCCTTGCCAAGCTTTGTTAAAGCATCTTCAGATCTTTCCGAAATCCCCATAAACACACTACTGATCTTCCCTTTAAAGTTACCCAACACTTTCCTATCAGGAAATTCACTATTTATGAGATTATTTATATCTTCTCATGGTACTGAACTATATCACACTTATTAGGGGAATCTCATGACTGTACTTCTGTCATTCAAGAGGCATCTATATCTAGCAGGTATTTTGACAGTCTCTTACCAAATTTAGAATCAATTTTGTTTTTAGTCTTACCAGAACTAGTAAACAGTACAAGCACATTTATGCAACAACTACTCCAGATGACATTGTAGAAACCAGCCATTTATGAGAAGCAAAACTAATTAAATCACCTGAAATTTTGACTCACTTTTGGGCATGTCAAATCACAAAATCATAGCCGGTATGGTTAAAGTGTTTAACACTTCTAAGAAGTCAAAACAATGAAGTTTCTTGACCTTTGCCTTTTTTAGCATTGTGCATTGCCTGTGTCCCAATAAAAATGGACAACAAATAATGAATTATTTAATCTCTTTACGCTATTGAATATTTTTTTATGAAAAGAAAGTCTTACATTATCAGAGACACTGTAAAAGTGAGGGAGGAAATATTAGAGCAGCTGATGGAGCTAAATTAAACAAGTCTTCCTCGTTAAACTTTGTAAGGAGCCCTGATAGAGCATACATAAGTGCACAGAAATGGTCCATAATTCCTTCTTAGATGCAGAATCCCCCCAAGTTTATAACATTAAAAATGATTAGTTTATTTGTCATTGAGGTAAGATCTTTCAAAATTCTGAAATTCTAAATTTCTGAAATTCAAAATTCTGAAATTCTAAATTCTAAAATTCTGACTGGTGGAGCTAAATATGTTTAAAGAACAGCTGGTAAAATCCTCCAGACATGACTCAGCACCATGAGCACATGTTTATTGGTTCTATCATTAAATGTACACTTGTAGGAAAAAAAACTTTTCTAGGTTAGTAGAGAATGTGGGCAGTTTATGCCTTTCTTTTGACCGAGGAAATCCCAACAAAACTATAAAGGTAGGATATTAACAGAAATTCAGTGTTACTGAACTGTTTGACTGAAAATATTTTATAAAATTATAATTAGCTAGAACTCAATATTCGTGGACAGAACTGCATACAAAATGTGTTACTTTTTCTACATGAATGAATTATAGGTGTGCTTTAGTAACAATACTTTTGTTTTCTTCATAAGTTGAAACACATTCATGTCAGAAACTCATAGCAGTTGTGATGACTGAAAATCAGTTTGATACTGTGTTTTCTACTTGTGCCCCCCCCCACATCATATTTTTGTGGAGTAGGTCTGTAAGGTTTTGCCCTCATTCAGTAACTTTATTTTTCTTACCGTTTTTCTTATCCATATCTTCTGAAAAATTACATAAATAACAAATGAATTATTAAAACAGCGTTTAATTACTGGGTCAGCCCTCCTTGGATCTAGATGGCCGGTGTAATGCGTTTTTACCCTTTCTTCTTGTGATTCTTCATTTTCCTCCTCACAAACTTGTGTTTTCTTGCTGTGATTTGGCCTCCAGTAGGAAGATTCAGCTCCCAAATGCACACTCCACTCTTACAAACTTAACTAGATGAATATTCAATGATATTCAATCTTTTCATGGACAAGCCAAGAGGTTGCTGTTCCTGGACTTCAGGTAATCAGCATTTAGGAGACCTAAACTCAATGTCCTGTTGTTTTGTAAATAACTCAGGCAAAAATGTTCATGCAAATTATTTCATCAAGTCCTATCAATTACCAGGTCAGCAGATAAAGTACATATTATTGGTCCTTAGTTGCATTTACAAACTAATACCACATCACCTGTCCTTAAATGTCAGTAATGAAAAGGTAGCTACATTATAGATATTAAATATCTATAATAAGTAAGCTGTTATAGATAGCAAGTAAGCTTCTCTGGACAATCTCTGAACAGTCAAATCATAGATGCTTACTGAGTTCTGTCCTTCAAGCAGCAGAGCCTTGTACAAAGTAGACAGTGCAATTGAGACTTGTTTTTCATCCTTTTTTTTCTTACATTAGTGATGGAATGCTATTATGTCTAGTTTGAGCTTTTGTATCTTCTCACTAATAAAATAACTTGTTAGGTATAGGCTTCACTTGAGACAATAAGTACACTACTGCTATAATTCAATTCTACTGAGATCTTAGTAATGCAAGAAAACTAGTGAATTAGTGGCTATGTCATTCCACACCAGTGGGAAAATATAAATTACTGAGACTAAATAAAAACAGCTAGAGTACAATTTGATCAATAAAAGCAGCTCTAAAGCATCCACTGATAAAATTTTAGATAAAATTTTGCATGACTATCAACTAAACCTTTTTGTTTTTCATTGCCTGTGTGGATTTTTGTTTTTAATTTTTGGTTAACTTGACATGTTTTTCTAGCATTAGAAATTACAGTTCCAAATAAATTCATTCATAATGATGTTATTTTCTAAAATGATGTAGAAAGTTTAAAATGTTTAGGTTCAGGAAAAACTGAATTTGGTCATAGAAATGGAGATAGGGAGACTGCATAGTGGCATGTTCTTCCTTTAACCAAGTTCAAGCTTCTCACGAGGTTAGGCATTATTTGATTCCATTCATGTGACATTCTGAGAGTATACAAATAGGAACAGACCAAAGCGTTCAGAGTTAGGGATGCACAGACTATGATTATAGTGCAATAGCACAAAAAAGTTTTCGATGTGATAAAAAAATTATGTACCATGATTTTGTAATAGAATCATAAATCTGTACAGTTAGAATTCAATATTCACAGATAGAACTGTATACATAATGTGTTAATTTTTCCATATAATTTAGGATGAAAATCAGAAGCACTAAGGAAATAAAGTAACTGATTTCTTTTTTTTTACTGAATTATGCTGTGTGTGTGTGTGTGTGTGTGTGTGTGTATATATATATATATATATATATATATATATATATCCCTCCATTTTCTCATTATGGAAAAGAAAAATCCAAGCATGGCCACTGTAGTAAGTAAAATAATAACTCCTCCCCAAACCAAGTCTTAATCTCTAGCAACAGACAGGGTACAGAACTATCAGTTCCATATATTTGCATTTTATGTATTTTCCATATTTAAAGTGTAATGCTATGTAATGGGAAATAATCCAAATATAATTTTCTGCCGAGTCAAAAGCTGATGTATGACAAGAATTGTGATATTGACACTAAAGTGATATTTGTATGAGAAGAGTCAATAAAAATGTCTTCTTAAATTTCAAGGCTGTGGAATGTCTGCTTAAATATCTGCTTAAATTTCAGTAGCGTAAGCGCCTGCCTTGCAAGCAGGCAGTTGTGAGTTCGATCCCTGGTACTGATAAAAACAACAACAAAAAAGACAAACAAAATTTAAAGGCTGCATTTTAAGAGACAACATCACTGATTTCCTTTTGGGAATATATTAAATGCACCTTTAGGGGTGGCCTGCCCAAACAGCATGAAGTTTGGGGGCTTCCCTTCCACCTCTGACCTCTTCATCCAGCTCTTTCTTATCATCCTGTACATGTATATCAAAACATCAAGTTGTAACCTTTAAATGCAACAAAACAGAAAATAGGATAGAAAAACAGTGTATGAGGCAACAGTCAGCTAATGAAATCTAAAATTTTCTGTGCATTCTTGAACCTAATCTTTTTTACTATATGCTTTTATTGACCCTATTTTAGTTTCCCCTTACAAACCAACATGGCAAACACTAAAAGATTTGCTCTAAAGGATCTTCCAGGCCAGGGTCAGTTTTGTTCTCAGGCTGCAGATGCCTCGGGAGCAATATATGCTGGTGTGCAGGAATGTACAGCTGAGCTTCTGGGTTGGGCAGCTGTGATGCGCAGATGTGCTTGGCTGACTTATTCAATAAATTGATGAGTCTTTGGTTTTTCCTTCTGTCCACATTTGAATGATTGTTTGCTGAGAGTCTCCCCCAGATTTCTGTTGACACCAAGGGAAGTAGGAGGAAACATTGTCTGAATAAATATACTTTAAAACAGAAATGTCTCCTTCAAGGCTTAAGGACGCTGC